ATTAAATAATCCATTGAGATGCATGCAACATCGCCTATTTAAATCGAAAAATATTGCCTACTTTTCAATGCAAATGTTAGATTGCGAAACCGTGAGGGATGGTGATTGCATTGGGGCCCTTCATCCAGCAGTGGATAAATCATGGATTATATCATGTAATAATTAACACACTTGGATCAAATATAACAAATATTTGGCCCCAGTATGTACGAGTACAATACACCTCAGCACAGTTCCTGTATTGTATATCTCAGCTTAATTGCACAGCAAGCCTCATAAACGTTCAGTGTTCTTCATTTTTTATCAATCAATGTTTTTTTTTATGAACCATCTTAATATACAAGTAGTATATTTTCCCAACAGACTCAGTTTTGATTAAATTAATTTAATTAAACGGAAGGTGACCTCTGTCCTTGGGCTTGATTGAATTTGCTTCCTGCAGAATGACCTCTGTGACCTACACATAATCACACCTCCCTCTTTACCGCAGCAAAGCCAGGAAAAAAGTTGTTCTGTCCCCAAAGGCATTTGGTGTTGTGCACTATTAAACTCTCCTCCACCCATCCACCACAGAGGAAAGGATGGGAATACAGCGAAGTCTGACCGATGAGTTGAACTAAAATAAGTGGCTCTTTGGATGACGGGGCGTGTAAAAGAAAACAGGGCAAGGTCAAGCTGTCTCTAGGGAGCATGTGTCTGCACCGTGTGATAGCCCATTGCGCTGATTTGCTGTTGAAAAATGAACTTCAGCTCCTCAGAATCTATAACTGCTTGAAGGGAATTAGCAGATAAAAAGGAAAGTATGTGTTTTAAAACTGTGTGCAAGTTAAATAAGAAAAACATGAAAGGGGACCAAAAACATGGATCGTTGAGGAATCTTTTTGAAAGTGTTCAAAGATTGTAAAAATGTGATATTAACTTGCATATGTTCTCTGATCCATGTGCCACTCTTTATGTCTCTTATTGTAATTCCTAGCATTCGTTTCATCTTGCTTCTTTGTGTACTTTTACAGTTGTTTTAGGCTCTTTGTGCACCTATTGAAAATATTCAGGCACGTTGCTATCATATTATAAACGATACATTTTTATATTATAAATGCAATCCATACTGCCCTTGCTCATCTCTTAATTTTACAGTGAGGGAAAAAAAGTATTTGATCCCCTGCTGATTTTGTACGTTTGCCCACTGACAAAGAAATGATCAGTCTATAATTTTCATGGTAGGTTTATTTGAACAGTGAGAGCCAGAATAACAACAACAAAAATCCAGAAAAACGCATGTCAAAAATGTTATAAATTGATTTGCATTTTAATGAGGGAAATAAGTATTTGACCCCCTCTCAATCACAAAGATTTCTGGCTCCCAAGTGTCTTTTATACAGGTAACGAGCTGAGATTAGGAGCACACTCTTAAAGGGAGTGCTCCTAATCTCAGCTTGTTACCTGTATAAAAGACACCTGTCCACAAAAACAATCAATCAATACGATTCCAAACTCTCCACCATGGCCAAGACCAAAGAGCTCTCCAAGGATGTCAGGGACAAGATTGTAGACCTACACAAGGCTGGAATGGGCTACAAGACCATTGCCAAGCAGCTTGGTGAGAAGGTGACAACAGTTGTTGCGATTATTCGCAAATGGAAGAAACACAAAAGAACTGTCAGTCTCCCTTGGCCTGGGGCTCCTTGCAAGATCTCACCTCGTGGAGTTGCAATGATCATGAGAACGGTGAGGAATCAGCCCAGAACTACACGGGAGGATCTTGTCAATGATCTCAAGGCAGCTGGGACCATAGTCACCAAGAAGACAATTGGTAACACACTACGCCGTGAAGGACTGAAATCCTGCAGCGCCCGCAAGGTCCCCCTGCTCAAGAAAGCACATATACATGCCCGTCTGAAGTTTGCCAATGAACATCTGAATGATTCAGAGGACAACTGGGTGAAAGTGTTGTGGCCAGATGAGACCAAAATGGAGCTCTTTGGCATCAACTCAACTCGCCGTGTTTGGAGGAGGAGGAATGCTGCCTATGGCCCCAAGAACACCATCCCCACCGTCAAACATGGAGGTGGAAACATTATGCTTTGGGGGTGTTTTTCTGCTAAGGGGGCAGGACAACTTCACCGCATCAAAGGGACGATGGACGGGGCCATGTACCATCAAATCTTGGATGAGAACCTCCTTCCCTCAGCCAGGGCATTGAAAATGGGTCGTGGATGGGTATTCCAGCATGACAATGACCCAAAACACACGGCCAAGGCAACAAAGGAGTGGCTCAAGAAGAAGCACATTAAGGTCCTGGAGTGGCCTAGCCAGTCTCCAGACCTTAATCCCATAGAAATCTGTGGAGGGAGCTGAAGGTTCGAGTTGCCAAACGTCAACCTCGAAACCTTAATGACTTGGAGAAGATCTGCAAAGAGGAGTGGGACAAAATCCCTCCTGAGATGTGTGCAAACCTGGTGGCCAACTACAAGAAACGTCTGACCTCTGTGATTGCCAACAAGGGTTTTGCCACCAAGTACTTAGTCACGTTTTGCAGAGGGGTCAAATACTTATTTCCCTCATTAAAATGCAAATCAATGTATACCATTTTTTACATGCATTTTTCTGGATGTTTTTGTTGTTATTCTGTCTCTCACTGTTCAAATAAACCTACCATTAAAATTATAGACTGATCATTTCTTTGTCTGTGGGCAAAAGTACAAAATCAACAGGGGATCAAATACTTTTTTCCCTCACTATATATGTTTTTTTTCATCTCAGTCTGCCTTCAATAGTTACCCCAGATATGCATAATCGGTTGTGTCCCTCCAACAATTAGCTCCTTCTGTTCAGCAAACTTGTGCGTCTCTTTTGCTCTGCTCAAAATCATCTTTAGCCCGGCTTTTAGAGCCTCCTTTGTTCGGTTCAAAAGTAATTGTTATTTGATGTCAGCGATTCTGAGGTGGTTAACACTTTCACAATTAAACTTTATATCTGTATGTCTAGAATAACTGTTTTGGTAAGAAATATTTTCATGTCATTGCCTAGGTCAGAGTGTATGTCCTTGCTGGACTCTGCTACCGATTTGTATTTCGTTACTTCTTTGGGGGCAATCTCACTGAACCTGTTTAATCTTTTTTTTGCCAAACCTCTTGGTGAAATGATGGCCAGAAAAGCTCCATAAATCTGATTATACATATATTATGACTTACTGTTATTAAGTGTTTCACAATACACATGTTATTTTCTTTGCATATTTTATTTTTCAGGCCTGGAACGAGTTTTGATCTTGACTCTAACCATGCATGGGTCTATGTTTCCTTGCCCTGACCACCATTCCCTCTCATAAGCATTCATAGGTGATTTAAAGCTTTCGTGACTGCAGGGATTCATATTCTTGTTTCTCTCGGTAAAGTCACGTAGAAGGGAAACAATAAAATAATGCAAATATAAAACAATACAATTTACACGACGTTTCGACTGCAACACAAGCAATCATCATGTGTGAAAACCACAGCAAGAAATTTCAAATTTTCTTGTGCGTCTCTTTTGCTCTTGCTGTGGTTTTCACACCTGATGATGATTGCTTGTATTGCAGTCGAAACGTCGTGAGAATTTTATTGTCTTATATTTTTATTATTTTATTGTTTCCCTTCTATGTGACTTTACCGAAAGAACCAAGAATATATATATACATTCATAGGTGGTTTAAATATATGTAAAGCATCTTCAGATACGAATGTATGTAGATGTTACATACATTCTTATTGTTGTGGTTGTTGTTGACACAGTAGATTCAAGACAATTGCCGCTGTGTGAAATATTCACGCATTAAACGGCAATGTTGGCCAAAGATAATATACGGTCGACACAATAACGCTGCATTCCACGCCAAAATCAAGGCTGGCTGTATTGTATGTGTAAGTGTAAAATATCGTACAATATGATACGATAAAATGGTTAAAGACTAAAAAATGGAGGTCACATTCGCCGAAGCATACTGGATGCCATCGAAGCAATACACACATATGCATACTGGATGCCATCGAAGCAATACACACATATGCTATGTTTGCAACTTTTAATAGGGCTAGTCTTTATGCTGATAATTAATAGAAAATTAACAAAGACACCTGCAGCTAGTTAAACTTAAATGCCTTTTGTGAAATGTCATATAACTAAGGTTAATAACAATCATGTTGGTGATTTTACTAATGCTTGTTGATCCATATAATTAAACTACGTGACATTATATTTGTATTGCATTGAGTAGAAATCAACATTTTAAAAAACACCTGGCTTTCGTGGATAGCTCCTGGCATCATCAGCTGCCAGGAGCTATCCAATGCTTCCCCATATCGCTGCCATTCATCGTGTTCTCGCAAATCCGACAGGCCATCAAGCTCCGGCGTGGTGAGTTTGACATCGTTGCTCAATATCCACGGTTGCCATGCTCTCGGTGCTGAGTGTCCCTCCTTCGACTGCTATTCCATCACCGTTCTCCCCCATCAGCCACCTAGCAACGTGTTGTGACCAAGCCGACTCACTTTTTTTTTAACAGTCAATTTGATATTACTTTTTTATTATTAATTTCTGAGCGTCAACCTCAGTGAAGTGCAATTAAAACTTATATAATGTGTATATTATATTTAAAGAATGTGGTAAAATGTTTCGTGTTGCTTTTCTCTCTGATTCAGGTAAGTGATGAAGAAATCGCCCCACCTTTCTGTATATTGCAGTGTGATTAATTAATCATATTTGATGCAAAACACAATAATTACATGAAATGGGGTCAAGACGCAGTGGGGCTCAGATCTGTCGACTTTATTTTATTCACGTTTATGCCAAACGCCTCGCCTATAATTGAATTCCTCCCATCTTACACTCATCACTTCCTCAAACCGTTGCCAGTAACATTTCAGGCGCAGTTTCACCGGACGTCCAATTAAACACCCAAAATAAAGCCGTGACATATTGCTTACTTGCTATGAAATAAACAGAAACTTGTTTCTGCCCACCTTTGCACTTGGGCGTGTTGTCACTCCAAGATGCAAAGATCTCGTTCACGCGCTGGCAGATGATGCTGCTGGAACCTTGAAGTACGTAACCTTCATTGCAAGAGAATCTAACGGTAGCTCCCAACCTGAAAGATCAGCACAGTGCAATTATGAATTAATTAAGTTCAGCCTTTGGCCGATAATAATCATTCAGCACGACAAAGCTAAGTAGGTTGGCTTGCCCTTGGCATTTTTTTATTGCATCATTAAGCATGGCACCGCCATGGGATTATAAGACTCGGCATCAGCATTAAAATTGTAATGAAATCATGATAATAAATGGTGATTGTATAAAATAATGACGATGCGTATAATGATAACCATGACAATTATCAGGATAATTTTCAAAGCTGTCGTCAATTTATCGTTTAGCATAATTGAGGATTGATGATAATCGTGCTTCCCAGAGTGCAACAACATCATTTGCTCTGGGCCTTGCACTTCTTAATGATGCATTAACTTACTAAAGAGGAACAGGTGTTAGAACTGGGTCATGTAATCATCAAAATGTGCTAATCTGAAATTGTGAGCTCTTAGTCATAGCTGCGATAGGGAAAGAATGGCTCGTGTTTGACACTTGATTGAGTTGGGCTTTGTGGGGGATAAAAAGTAGGATGTGACGAACATAACATTTATTCACATCTGGAATAGTTTTCCTTCCTGCCCCGTCGTGAGAGAATTACACTCAATTCTGTGCAAAGTCGGCTCAATTCAACCATACGGAATGTGCGGAGGGCTGTGTTGCCATTGGGTGCTGTAATTATGCCACGGCTCATTTAATCGCGCGAATTTTGTCCACAAAGTGGGCAGGATTAGGAAGGAGCACGGGGGAATGCTAGAGAAAGTTGATATAGATTGGGTGTGGTGACATGAGATGTTCTGCCACATGCATGAGATGTTCTGCCACATTATCTGCCACAAAGTGGTGGATGTTCCACCACAAAAAAGTCTAACCCTCCTGGAAAATAATTCACTTTGATGGAGTAAGGATTGCAAGAATCAGTCTCTATTAATTAATTGATGCACCACTACATGCCTAAGATGTGTGCACACACAAGTAAACATACTCATACAAAAAAAAAAAACAAAGATTTCCCGTCAAAAATAAAGATTCCCGTCTATCCTTATGAGACTATCGGGGCAAGTGCCATTAGCGAGCACCGATGAAGGCCGGCACAGCGCATGAGGGGGTGGGTGGTTAGCACCACGTCCGGCCGCTTTTGTCTCCCCAGTAGCGATTATTTTACACACTGCACCAGGTACTCATTTGAAACTGAGTCGATCTCAGGGAGGCCCAGGATCGGTTCAGATAATGATCATTGGTGTTGGTCATGAGCGGGAATCGAACTCGGGTTTGTAGTGCAGTGCAGTAACCGCTGCGCCACCGCTCCCCACCACAACAATAACCGCCATTCGCCACTAAGTGGCGGTGACGTCACCACGACGCTTGTGCCAGGCTATGTGCACATTGAGGACACGTGAAGAATCGAACGCCCGCTGGCAGCAGGTCATGGGGAAGACCCAGCAGGTGCCATGGGTTGACTGACTGAGATGACTGGCTGATGCACTACCTGTGCCCCCTACTGTGCCAAATTGCAGTGATTTAGCCTCCCGGCGCTACATTCGTTATTGTGAGCATCGCTCCTCCGCCCTCCGTTGTTGTTTGGAGAGCTTCTGCCTCCAACTGCCCAGTAGCATCCTTCACAAGCCTCCTCCAAAAAGGCCGATCTTGATACTGCTGGTACCAGTCATCAGGAAGTCCACTCAGCTCCACATCCTCCTGTACCACATCACTCCATATTTTCTCTAGCCCGTGCTGCGCCCGTTTAGCCCCCTCGATCCGGCCGAACAAAAGCTGTTTAGGCATGCGGTGGCTGGGCATGTGGGCTACATGACCCAGCCAACGTGGCTTTGCCTGCCGGAGGAGCTCACCAATGGGACTTTGTCCAGATCTTTCAAGGATTTGTGAGCTCCTCACACAATCCAACCTGGTTAAACCCAGGATAGATCGTAGGCACGCCAGCCTAAATGTTTCTAATCAGTGAAGATGTTCCATTAGGGGGGTCCACGTTTTGCAAGCATAGAGAAGGGATGAAATGATTGTGTTCCAGAGAAGACCTGAAGCTTCGTGCAGAGCGACAGACCAGGTACCTTCAACACAGCGTTACGCAACCGATGAAAAGATCTCCCCTCCGACTCCCGGCCACGTAGTTTTACCCGGGCCCGCTCACCATCATGAAGATCCTTAATGATCGTGAGCAGAGGGTCAGGGACTCCGAAAGCACGAAGAGCCCAGGTCTACTGATGGTATCATAAGCCTTTACCAGGTAAATAAAGCAGAGATGTAGGTCTTGTTGGCATTCCCTACACCTCTGCTGTAGCAGACGGACAGAAAATATGGCATCTGTGCAGAACTGCCGTTTCCTTAAACCGCATTGTGGCTCCGCAAGCCTCTCATCAGCATGCCAGTCAAGGAGATGTTGAATAATCCTTGCCAGGACTTTTCCCGGCAGACTGAGGAGTGAAATGTCCCTGTAGTTGTTAAAGTTTGTGCGGTCCCCCTTCTTAAAGAGGGGGACCACCAGGGCATCCTTCTAATCCTGGGGAACCCGTCCAGTGTTACAGACTGTTGTAGGGCAGTCTGTACACAAATGCCATCCTAACTCAGCATTTTGCTTGGGAGATCATCTCTGCCCCTGTGCCTTTCCTGGTCTCAGAATCTGGCTCGCCTTCAGTACTTCCTCAACAGATGGAACCTCAGCCAGCCACTCACAGGGGGTGACTTCGTCATCCAATATTTGAGGCACCGCAGACTCAGCAGGGTCATACCCACTTTGTCCCATGATGTTTTCCAGCCTGAGGGATTCCCCCTTCCACAGGATCTCACAGAAATGCTAAAAAAATCTGCAAACCTGTTCCTGGGGGTCGAAGGTTGGATCACCGTTCTTTCCCCTAATCATGGTAATAGGTGTGGCCCTGCAGGTTACTTTTTGATGGAGTTAAAGAGAGATTTGTGATCGCGGGCTATTGAGGTAGCCTCCATCTCCTCAGCAACTTGCGACCACCATCCTTGCAGCACCTCATGGCTCTCAGAACCTCCGAGCAAAGGCTGCAGTAAGCCTCCTCATTCTCTGACGTGGGATGCTGTAGATGATGAGAGTGGGTCTGTCGCTTTTTTTCAGCCAGCCTGAACACCACCTCTATCAGCCAGGTTCTCTGGAGAGGTCTGGACTGCATACCCAATGCAGCCATTGCAGCTGCATGCGCCACAGTCCAAAACCTTGCCCATTTCCCTTCGACATCAGGAGGAGTGGGGGACGATGCCAACCCCAGCTGCAAGCGATGATGAAATTTTCGCTTCCAACTTTCATCAGCTAGCTGAGACCAGGCCACTATGGGTTTGAATGGGGTCCTGGGTGTACACCCACCACCCGAGTGGATGAATGGCAGGCCCATCTTACAGATGCCAAGTCGATGGTCAGTGGGCAGATCAGCTCCACGGTAGGTCCTGATATCAAGGACATGGGCCCGCATCCGCTATTCTATCACCCTGTAGTCCAGCAAATGTTCTTGCTTGGACCCGGCATGCATCCATGATGTTGTGTGGATGCGCCGATGCTGGAATAGTGTGTTGGTAATTACAAGCCCATGGGCTTCACAAAAATCTAGCAGCCTCCTACCATTGTTATTGAGCTGATCTGGCCCATGCCTTCCAATCACTCCAGACCAGGTGCCAGCATCATGATCAATTTGGGCATTGAAGTTGCCCAACAAGATGACTCTATCTCGAGGGGCCACTTTAGCTAGCACCTGTGACAGGAGGTCATAGAAGGAATCTGACTCATCAGCATTGCCTGCATCCCTCCACGGATGTTCATATTCGGTGGGAGCATAAGTAACCACGACCACCACTCATCGCCTTTGGTTGATGGGAAGGCGAGCCCAAAGTAGCCTGGGGCTTACAGCTTCCCACACCTCACTGCCACACTCCCATGCCCCTTTCATTCTTTTGTTCAGAAGAAGAGCCACTCCCTGTTGTTTGGCAGTCTCCTGCCCCGAGTAGAGGATTGTCCATTCCTCATGATGGCAGGAGCCAGAGCCGGTCTACCGGACCACCTGAATACCACAGAGATCCAGGCGGTACCAGTCCAGCTCCTGACAGAGGAGTGGCAGCCTCTCCTCCGTAGTGAGCGTTCAAACATTCCACGTGGCCAACCGCAGTGGTTTTTTTGTTGTTTCTGGAGGAGCCCCGAGGGTAAGGATTCAGTCTTCTGGCTCCACCAAATGGGGTTTGGCCAGGAGACTTCATAGATGCCTGTCCCTCTGGGGCCTCTGGCACAAGCTTAATGAAAGTTTTAAATCATGGTTAAGTGGTAATTAATTGAAGGTTGAGGGGTTACCAATCCCTCACAACCCATCCAGAGCCCCCATTTGGCCGATGTGGTGGTTACAAACGCCATGAGGGGAATGGCCAATCTAAATTGGTCATCCCCCCATGGCACTGCTCACCACAGTGTTGCCGTCCGGCACCAACGAGGAGGTAGGGGGTTGTTTTTGCCGGACCTGCCACATACATATATACACACAAATATGTACACGCATTCACAATAATATGCAGATCCATAAGCGGTGCTGTTAGTGAGCAATCATGGTGACAGTGACAGCATTGTGACAGCATTGTCACTGTCACCATCATCACCATCCAAGGCACAGAAAGCTACAAAATGAGCAGTTTTACTTTGTAAAGAAGAAGAAGTCAATAGTGGTTATCTTACAGAAACGCTAGTCTTCACCATAGGAATGTGTAGTTTTCACAACTCATTCAGAGCTGTTAATGGATATGATTTCTAGGGATGCACAACCCTCTCCTATGCTGGATGGATACATTCTGAGTAGCTTCGCGAAGCACATTAGTGCACACAAACATATACATGAAACTTTTACAGTACAAAGTTGCACATCAGACTTGTTGGGGACCAAGCTATTGGCAAATATGTGAACAGGTCAGATTTGCAAGCATCGATAGAAAATGAGTTACACCATGCACAAAAATTGCACTGGGAGTGAGTTTTAATTACTGGTCACGGTGGATATGCGATGTTGTCCCGCAAGTACACCGCGTTGATGTGTTCGCCGAACGGATCAAGGTTTGACCAGTATTTTTTTTTACCGTGGTCGGGAAATGTGCTGCGTGGTCACCTCGCCCTGTCTCTCTACCTTGCCCATTCCGATGTGGAGTGATGGCAACTTAGACAGCTTATGAATAGCAACAATTCCTTCGGCGGAAATATTTCTGCTGCGGAAAACTATCTGCCGCGTCGACACCCGAATGCATGGCCCTGGCCGGTGAAACCGGGTGAAGCTACACCAATGTGCCTCGAGAGCAAATGAGTGAGGTGACTGCGGAGCATTGGCCAAGCTAACCTGAAGTCGGCACCGACTCTTCTGCCGTCTTGTGGCTCCCCAGGATCAGGGCAGGTGCTTGACGCGTGAGTGCTGCTCCTGTTTTTGCCTGCTGCAGCGCACACCGCCGCACATGCACACGCGTGGCATGGAATTCAACAAGAGGGGAAGCGTATGCATGTGTATGCAAAAGATGTAAGACATTAGGATTACAGCAGTGCTATTTGCCTGCGCTGTGAAGAAGGGCCATTGCCCAAAATGTTGCCGATTAATGACATATTTGTTTTTGTATGTATGTTGAACGTCTTTCGCACCGTACGTAGCCAACCGTGCTAATCAGAGGTGCAGGGAAGGATAATAAACTAAACATGAAAAGTAAAAAATAAATGAGTTTTTTTTTAATTTAGATTTAAAAGTGCATCGCTCCAGCGGCTTCTGTTGGCGAGTGTTATTTTTGTCACGCAGGCTTTCGCGACCAATATCATTCATAATACAGTTTTTTGTGGTTAGATCGTGTAAGTATAAATGTGTCGTATGTTGTGGATTTACTCTCCAACACACCGGTGGGCTGAACTAGTAACTAATTGGCGCGTTGTTTACGTGACGAACCTTACTGGCTGTGTCGGGTGGTGGAGGGTTACAACACGTTTATACTTACGTATAAAGTGTTATTTATTTTTTAATTTAAAGCTTTCGTGACTGCACAGCAAGAACATTTTCTTGCTGTGGCTTTCACACCTGATGATGATTGCTTGTGTTGCAGTCGAAACGTCGTTAAAATTGTATTGTTTTATATGTTTATTATTTTATTGTTTCCCTTCTACGTGACTTTACCGAAAGAACCAAGAAAATGTATTCTTTGTGTTTTCTTTTGTATGTAGTTATCAGACTGAGTGGTACAGTGCTGATTTGGGAAATGGTGACATTAACCTCACTTCGAGGTCAACGCGACCAGTGTGCATTCCAGTACTGGTTTCTAAAAAGTCCACAGCGGTTGTGTTATGGAGAGCCTCGATCCCCCCATAGGATAGCTGCGTGGTTTCCTACTGGCCCAGGGCTGTCAAAAAGAGATGAGTACTCCCCCCAAAACTTGATTTAAGGGGGAAACTGCTTTGACCTTTGACTAACGTGGTTGTACAATATTGGAGAGAACACTGCTCATTGGAAGCCGCAGCTCTGTGCTTTAATCGTGTAATATTACATGACAATTAGAATTACGAGTGCAAGTGTGCGTGCTCTTTCAATATCTCATTCTCAAGCGTGATTACTGTTCCTCGCGTATAATTTGAGTGTTTTAAATAACTGTCTATTTATAAATAACTATTTATTTAAAACGCACGCCACTTTTACCAACGCTATTGTCATTGGTTAACTACGCTTGTTTTTAACTGCGTTAAATAACATTACAAGCCAGCAGTTAATTGGTCAAATCACGGAGCACTTACGCAGAATGCATTTATTTGCAAAGACACTCAAGAATAGATTTCGATTTAGAAAGCAATAAATGAAAGTGTGTTTTTCTCATCAAAGACAATGCAAGTGCAGGGGATATGCATCAAAGAAAATCTGATCAAACGCATGCATGATAGCAACGTTGCATATTGCTCTGGTAAACCTGGACCTGTGGAGCTCAATAAGCTTCAGACCTTCCAATAATTGTGTTTGCATTAGGTATATCTACAAAGGGTACATGAGTATTGAACGCTGCCTCCAGCTTGCTTTCATCAGCTGTATATTAATTGCTAAATATGCGATTGAAATTAATTCTTCCTTCAAAATCAAATCTCTCATTTAGATCCAGCATATTAAATATTCCAGCAATATATTCGGAGTGCATTGTGAATTACAATACTCATTACACGTTAAACACACAGTGGAAATATTCACAAGGATGAGTTTGACAAACAGCAGAAAAAATATTGCATGGAAATTGATACTTAGAAATCATCATGCAGTGGTATTCAGGATGTTGCATACACCTTCACAACTAATTATATGTAATATAAGCAAAGCACTAGACTGTTTTGCATTAAACAATTATTATTATTCTCATTGTGGTTTTAATCGAATTGTCAAGTAACACTCTTGTGGAGTGGTAACCAATTGGGTCAATGATCTATGCACTGGTCCAATTGGCATTGGGATCACGATAACGTTTGTTGGGATAGATCACGGTACATGTACTGTTTATGTGTCGTACACCCACCTCTACCCGACGCAGACAATTAGTAAGGCTTGTCCCGTGAACAAAAGGTGCAGATTAGTTTCTACTTCAGCACACCGGTGTGTTGGAAAGAGACCCACATTTACGATTTGAGTATGACGTTTATCTGGTGATTACATTGGGTTGACTATTTTATGTATATTAACATTAACTGTAAAAAAGGGTTTATTGAAAAAAGAATGTGTCACATTTATGCATTTAAAAAAAAAAGTGGCAATGCTTCTCAAAGAGCATACATGAGGATAATGAAACACTACAGATAGAGTAGAATGTGTCATATTCCAAAGGAAATCATATATTTTTAATATGTAGTCCAATACGCTGATGATTAGTACACAGAAACAATAATGAATGCAGTAATAAAACAAAGACGAAGATCTCCGTGTAGCAAGACTATTGGGCCAATTGCTGTTAACGAGCACCTAAGAAGGCCAGAACGGTACACGAAGGGGTGGCCGGCACCACACCCGACGGCGTTTTTCTCCCCAGTGGCGACGTTTACACACCGCACCAGGTACTCATTTGAGGCTGAGTCGACCTAGGGGAGGCCCAGGATTGGTTCAGATAATCGTCACCGGTGTTGGCCACGAGCGGGAACCGAACACGGGTGGCGTGGTTTGTAGCACAACCCCGTTGACCACCACACTCCCGAGAAAATATGATTGTGATATATTTGTCTAGACAGTATAATATTGGTAAAAGTACACCACACTGAAGCCATATTCCCACTGCGATTGTGTGACAGATGATTGAATTGCTCCTTGCAGTACAAGCTAATTACACATCATGCAAACTGACTTCATCTTCTTCCATAATAAGCCACCAATTCCAAATTGGCATGTAAAACTTAACAAACCAAAACAAATATCATATTTTCATGGAAATCCTAAGCTGTGTAATAAAAGTCAAGAAACAATGCTCTTGGTATACTGCATGCAACAACACATTACAAATTGTGATTAAATAAATTGCATCTTCGCATGCAAATTGTATTTTTATCTGGCCATGGATATGTATTTTCTTCTTAATTGCGTGATGAAATGATTCCATCTCTGTACATGACAGTGCTGGTACAATACAATACATGACAGTACAATTTTGATTCATAAAGCGGCAAAATACAACAGCATCTCAATATTCTGTACACAACAGTGGGATTTGTTCATCACAGGGGGCAGGAATGCATATATAATGTATATATATTATAGATGAGGCAGTCAGTCATAAGCTGAGGAAAAGAGGTAGGTATTGGGCTTGGAATTGAACAGTCGTCAACAGCACGGATGAACATGGGTGCAGCATAGGAGGAGTTACTCCGATAGGGCAGTAATTGACTGGGAGCTTCAAAAGATTACCAAATTGGCATATACTGTACCCTACATAGCAATTATTGGCCACAACTGGGAAAGTTTAGCAGGACCTTCGTGAAAAAAAGTTACATGGCACTCAATGCGTATTTCCTGGGCAAATGAGCATCATACTTCATACTACTGTAGTGACATCGCGGATGTCACTGTGTGGTGCCGGCTCTAGTGAGGCACGGCGTGCGATGTACTCACATCGCGGACATCACGTGTGTAGCAGCATCGTGAATGTCACTTAGTGATGCCGGCTCTAGCGAGGCACGGCGTGCGATGCATTGTCATCGCGGACACCCCATAGGTGGGTGCAGTACCAGCCCTAGAGGGGGCTCGGTGAGAGCTGGGATAGCGCTCGGTGGCACCACGCGTGGCGTGCAGTGCTGACTCCTACAGGAGGGAGAGTGTCAGCCATGAGATGATGTTACCCTAGGCCATGGCACTCTGGTTGACCCTGGAAGGCACGTGACAAGTAAGATCTACACAGAAGCCCGGGTGGGGGCTAGGGGGTGATCACGTGTCAGGGTGAGATCCTACGGGAAGGGTCGAGAAACGACAAGAGGTTTCTCGAAGGTGGTCATGGCCAAGGGCGGGGCCAGCCATGACCCGGGAGCATATAAACCGGGTCCCATAGGGACCGGGGCTCAGCTTTGCTGTTGTCATCTGAAGTGTAACTAGCGTAGTTAGCCTGGTGGTCCACTACCATAGGTTATCTGGTAATGGGGCAGTAACCCCTTTGTGTTAATGTGTTGTTAATAAATATGTGTTGCCTCTAAAAAGTACACTACAACTGGTGTCGGAAGTGGCCAAACGCTATTTTACTTAGCTAGCTGTAGACTATGTCTACACGCTGCAGACTACGTTCCGGGACGTCGGACGATGAAGACGAAGATCTCAACCCGCAAACAGTCCCGGAGGAGGGAGGTGAAGCATTGCCGGCGGAGCAGAGCACCGACCGGGCACGCGACTGCTCCACGCCAACAGGGAGGGTGCTCCAGGCTGCACATGGCCACTTTGCAGAGCTCCTCCATGCCGTGGCATCCATCCTCGCGGAGCTCCACATCGCGGGGCCAGCGGTGAAAGTGGGAGCAATAGAGCCACGCGGCGACGAAGTTCCTGCCGCCATTTTCCGCCAAGCGGAAACCTCCGTGGCGCAGCACGCTCTGGCAGCTGCCATCTTCTCGGAAGAGCGCAGCGCGGGACCCGCCTAATCCGAAGTCACGTCGAAATCGCCGGTGGACGTTCCATCTCTCCGGCGACGACTTCCCTTCGTGAAAGAATTTACAGCCGCCGGGGGCGACTGGGTGGCCTTCATCTGGCGGTTCCTGATGAATGCCGATTTGGCGGGGTGGACGGAGGCGCTAAGAGCGCTGCCCGCCGCCCTTGATGACGGCGCCCTGGCGGCATTCCTTATCATCCCGCCGTCGGAGAGGGCCACGGTGACGCAACCCTTCGACCAAATGGCGGCCATTTACGAGCCGCCATCCAACGTGTGCCACAAGTTCGCTACACGAAAGATAGGGGAAACCG